AAAAAATTTAAATATCAGAAACTTCAAAACCTAGGTTCCACACAAAAAATTTAAATCAACCGAAAAAAGAACACCAACCAAACAAGAATATCGAGCAACCAAGCAAGAGAGCAACCAAGCAAGAATACCGAGCAATTACCGAGCAACCGAAGTATAAGAACACCTAAGCAAGAATATCGGGTCGATCCAAGGCCGACTCACCGAGGAAAAATACCTTTTATCAAAGAAAAATGGAAGTAGAGATTAGAGAACGAACACAAAAAATCAACTCAAAGCTCTCACCGAGACAACGATTTTCGCGATTTTGAGACAAGTTCTCACCGAGAGAGGCTTTCAAGCTTTTCACGATCCCGAGAGAAAGAGCAGCCGGGAAGAGAAAGATCACGTGCTTCCGTGAGAGCGTGCAGTCGTGCTTCCGTGAGAGGAGAGCGGCGTAAGAGATGAGAAAGCAAACGGGAGAAAAAGCGAACGGGGGTTAGGGAATTAGGGCTTCCCGTCTTTCTTTTCCTTTATATATTATAATATAAAAATAATAATATAATATATTATAATAATTATATACTTTATATTATATAAATATATAATATTTATATTATTAGAGTTTAAATAGTATGTAAATTTTTTTTTATTAATAATTTATTTTACATTATAATTTACAGATTGCCGTTTCCATGGAGTTGACCAATTGCCGTTTCCATGGAGTTGATCAGCGATGACATGATCATTGAGTTCTCTACTTCCCAAGCTCCATAAGTAGACTCAGTCTTTGGAGCTTCACTGATTTTGCCCATGAGGTGAGCTAATTTTCCACGTCCTTTCATAAACAAAGACACCTCTTGGGATCATTGGAGAAAGTTACCGTCATTTAGTTTATGAGCGATGGTAAAAAATGTCATGTTGGTTTCTGATCCTCCATTATGTAGAGGGATTGAGGTCGATGACGATCCTTCGGTGGACTCATGCACACCTTCAGTAGGAGGTTTGATGGTGGAGGAATCCACCGTACTTCCGATAGAGCCAAAGGTATTGTGAGGTTGCCCCAACATAGTAAGGTTTGTAAGAGGGATGCCCAGTGGCTGAAGAGTAGTCGGCTACATAGAAAGAACAGCCGGGTATAAGCCTTTGTAGAGAGGCCTTACGACATAGAAACAAGAATCTGAATTCCTGTACAAAGGGGTGAGAATCTGATTAAAATTTCCGCAGAGAGGCGTCACTATGTAGAATACTATGGAAGGCTGGCTCAAGGAAACAACGACAGGAATCAACAACTGAGGAAAAACTAACGATACGAGGAATCAACGGCAGAGGAAAAATAACGGCTGTAAGAGTAGATCTGCAGGCATTCCACGGTTGAGGAAGAACTAGCAATAGGAGGAATCAGCGGCAGAGGAAAAACAACGGTTCCAAAGGGATCTGCGGCTGCAAGGTGGCTATCGACATAAATGTTAAAATGATTGGATTATAATGAGATTTTTTTCAATAGTTGTCAAATTGATTTCCATAAGATTGATATTATCTATAATAGCTAAACTCAATTTGGAGCTCGATCAAATGAATGTTAAAATGACATTCTTGCACAACAACTAGGAGGCAAACTATCTATATACAGCAACCTGAGGGATTCAATAAAGAGAATAATTGTCAGGCATGCCAGCTGAAGAGACCCATTTATGGATTATGTTCGATCTGATCATTTATTAGACTGATTGGTTTTGATATAAGCCAGTCAGATCACTTTTTATTTAAAGAAATCCACAGATTCTAGTATTTTTGGTATATTTGTTAATATATGTTGTAGATATACTCATAAGAAGCAAAATGAAATTTGAAATTGATCTGTTAATGGGACAATTGTCTGCTGAATTTCAAATGAATGTTATTGGAGCTGTCAATAAAATGTTTGGAATGGAAATAATAAGCATAGATTAGAAAGGAAAATTTTTCTTTGTCAGAAGATATACCTGAAGCATATGTTAGACAAATTCGGGATGCTTAATTCAAAGGCAGTGCAAACATTTCTAGCTAATAACTTCAAATTAAGTGGGGATTATGCTGCTCAATCTGAAGTAGAAAATGTTGGAATTTTTATGTATGGAATGGTATGCACTAGCCCTAGTCTAGCTTCTGCAAGCAGGGTTGTCAGCCTGATTATGAAAAACTCATTGGATGGCAGTAAAATGGATTCATGAAAGAATTGGGTTTTTGTTCAAGAAAAACTCGCAATATTATGTTATAATCAGAGCCTTACACATAATGAAAAATCGTGTTTTTCATGAGAAGTTAAAACATATTGATATTAAATTACATTTTGTTAGGAATATTATTGCAATTGGATGTATTAAGTTGAAGAAAATTTCTACTGTGGATAATCCGGCAGAAGTGATGACAAAATGTTTACCCATTTTGCTAAACTCACACTATTTAAACCTAGTCAAGTGTTATGACCTTGTTTTAAATTTGCGAATAGATTCTTTTGTTGTTATTAGTGTTCCCTTTGCTATTTCCTGTTCATTTTTTTTTTAACTGCCAGTGCTCTGCCCCTCTCTTTGTCTCTCTCTCTCTCTCTCTATATCAGAGTGAGAGGGTGGTGTTGAAACAGTTGAGAAGATTATATTCTGACTTCTGTTTTTCAGTTCAATTGACAATAAAGGTTGCCATCTTTTCCTTCCCTTTCTTATTTTTTGTTCAGTTGTTTGTGATTACTTTGTGCAACATGCCAACATCTTGATTGCTCTAGATTTCCAACAGATGTGATAGGATTGCTGTCTTCTGTTGTATAACTTGATCCATATTTCTTTCTTAACAAATATCACAATGTTGTTCCTTCTTCTTTGTTTATGTGTGTGTGTGTGTGTGTGTGTGTGTGTGTGTGTGTGTGTGTTTGCATTCATTCTTTTATCCATTTTTATTCAAAAAATTACTTCCAAGTATGTTTTTGTCTATCAAGAATCTGATGTAGACTGTTCAATTCTGTACTGAAACTTTGGCTTCGGTTCATTGTTTCTGCAGTCTCTTTTTGGTTTTTGAAGTGCATTGTATTTCATTATTCGAAATCTGTGCTCAAATAAGTGCCATTTTACATTTTTTAGATAGGGAAATTGAGAAGCCATTTCTAAGAAGAGTTCACCGGATATTTTTTTTCATATCTGTAATGTTGAAGAAGATAGGCTATAGAAAGTTTAGTTTTAACAACAGATAATTTCTATTGTACGGATTGTTTCCCTGCTGATCGATCAAGTTCTGGTTCCAGGCATCGTTCTTGACTGCCCCGCATCATGTGCTTGAGAGAGAACTCGTATGGCAATAAGTGGGATCATAGAGACTAGGGGTGTAATTGAGTCGAGTCGAGCTCGAGTCACTCTCGGCTTAAGCTTGAGCTTGGTTAATTAATCGAGTTCGAGCTTGAGCCAACTCACGAGTTGGCTTGTTTAGTATGAGAGAAAAAAAAAATATATTAATTTAAACTAGTATTTTAGGGAAATAACAAATAGAACAAACATTTAAAAGATAATTAATGTGAAATAACTAAATATAAAACATAAAATGTTATTTTCGTAAAATATTTTAAAAATCAAAGAAAAAATTTGAATTTTAATATATTTTAAGCTATTTTGAATTAATTATTTTTTAAGCAAGCGAGCTCACGAGTTGAGCTTAGCTTGTTTGATCATCGAACTCAGTTCATGAGCCACTTATTGTGTCAAGCCTCTCAATAGAGACTGTCTTGATGACAAAAAGTGGGGAAATATTCTATGTTTGGTGTACAGTTATGGCATGTGTAATCACTCATTCTAACATATTTATGTATTTGACACTATAGTTTTATTATTTACATGTATAATATTCAAATCTTTAACAATACATCGAAAGCACCATTCTTACTAACTTTATAAAAATGAACTAAACCCTTTCAAGCATAGGTTTATAATTTATAAAGCCAGAATGTAATTAAATATTAAACTTTAGGCAATAGGTAGATAAATGCATCAGAATTGTATGGGGCATGTATGTAGCTTTTCCTAAAAGTTAACATGATTCACTATATCCTATTTATTTATTGGTGAGGCTAATATATATATATATAGAATAATTTTATTCAATTCATTTAACATTATAGAAATTTTTTAAGTGGGCAATGTATAATATAATTGACGTAAAGTTATACAATAGTTATATGAGCAGTTTATCTAGCTCAGTAGAATGAACAAGAAACAAATATACTACTATAAATGATAAAGCAAATCATTAATTAAATTTGTTCATTTATATCTAAAAATTTTTAAAATTTTATTTATATTAGTTTAATTACTTGAATAATAGAACTCTTTGGCATGGATGCAAAAAGTATGATTTTATATTTGAACTTAACACCGATATATTTTCTCAAAAAAAAAAAAAAAAAAAAAAAAAGTGATGCAAAACTGGCCTTTAATAGTAGTTGTATTGCTGATGTAATCTTAAATATTCAAATGTCAAGTATGTAAATAAGAATGTTTAGCTATTATTAATATATAATTTTTTAAGAATTGAGTGATATATATGTAAATTGCCAAAAAAAAAAAAAAAAAAAAAAAAAAAAAAAAAAAAAAAAAAAAGAGACCCAAAAAACTAAAAATTGTATCTTTTCTTCTATTTGAAAAAGTCCATTCTACGCTATTATACGACCCTCCAGTCAGTCATAATATATCTAAAAAATTCAAATACCACCTTCTTAAGACTAACTGTGTTATAGAAGATTCAAACCCTGGATCTGAGAGGACTTATACATGTCAACCGAAAGGCCGGGGTACGGTGCACGAAAAAGCCCACTCAACATGAATGAAAACAATACACCAACATTTTTGTGACAGCTTTTCACTCTTCACTGATTTTAAATTAATTACTCACCCAAAACTCCAATGTTCTGCAAATTATGACCTCAGCTGCTTTTGCATATAAACACCAAACAAAAGAAGAATTTCAGCTTAAAAAAGTATAAAAACGTTGTAATGAGATATGACTCAATAAGAAATAAACTGCATTGCAGAAGAATTTAGTGAGCTTCTCTCAGAATCAGCACACGAACATGCTTATCTGGAACTTGAAAAGAGATCAATTAATCAAACATTTATCAGCGAGTAATGTATTTAAGCAGAAATATTACTGCAAAATTTTATTTTGCAGTAAAATTCTTGTAAATAGATGATTTTGCTGATCTTTCCATGGATGTCTGTAGGTGGCTGACTCAGTACGCAAGTAGGATGGATTCTATGAGATCAATGAGTGGTGCGAGCTCTCCTTTGTCAATCAAATGGAATTCCTGAATAAAATCAGATCGTAAGATAAATAATTAAAGGAAGATTTACATACATACCACTTAAATCTTATGTATTTATATATCTTACACTTAAAACTGCAATTTTTACCTACATTCTGCCTTATATCTTTGCATGAAAATATGTGATATGAAAGATTTAGATGATATGTAAATATATAGGAATTGTGTGATCAACTAAATAAATAAAAATTAAGTATGTGGAACATAATTAGCTAAGAAGCATATATAAAAAAAGATAATAATGACTGAAAGGAACATTTACATTCATATCACTCAATTTCTATGTATTTACATATCTAATTTCTAAACTTCAATTTTTACATACATGTCACCTTACCTATGCATCAAAAGTTGCCCCTCACTTTTTAAAAGTTAAAATGGTATTATTTTTGATGTGGTATGAAAGATTTGATAGGTATAGATGTAAGAAAGTAAAATTTAGTTGTATCGAATTATGTTTATTCAGATGAGAATTTATGTTAAGATGCTTTAATAAAAGCCCTCGTAAAATTTAGCTTTTGGGAGTAGAAGCTTTAGGGGGTATTTGGTAGCATTGTTTTAATAGTATTGAGGCATGGATTTAAGGCGTCTATCTCCCACGTTCCATGTCTTTTATGATGTAAATCCATGCTTCGTAAATCCGATTGCAAGCAGATTTAAAGGATTTACTCCGCCATCACTCGGGAGTTCCATCTCCGCCGCACAAGGTCTAATAAATCAGAATTTATTGGATTTGATAAATCCTACTTAACTTGAAACCAGGTTGCAACCAAACACCATTTCTATAGGATTAAAAACATGTATGAAAATTGCTTTAAAGATGTGGAGAGTGAGGCAATGGGCAAAAATGAAATGGTTTTTTACAAATACATTCCAATTACATGCACAAATATATCTATATATTAGAAGGGAATATCCTCACTAACAAGAAAACATTACAAATACAAATAGTGAAAATTCCCAACATAAATAATTGAAGAAGATTATTGCAGTTCTACTTCAAAATGCAAATTAGGAAGAAGTCCAAAAACAATTGTATAATTGCAAATAGGAAGCATAGGAAGAAGGATGCTTCTTACCCATATAAAAAATGTAAAATGCTTGAAACAGGTGTTCAGATGAGCTTCTTCCCTGAGACTAACAATCTTCTGAAAATGTGAGTGGTAAATATGAGCATAGACTCGAAATAATCGCTTGAAAATTGTTCTGATTACATCCTGAAAATTAGGAGGAAATGGTGCTCCTGAGAGATAAAATATCATTTATTAAGTGCTGAATATTTGAATACTTCATAAAAATAATATATTAAATGCATAATCTGTACCAAGTTTCTGTGGGAATATTGACTCATTATCAAGCTGAACTTCAATCCAATCCATCAAATATTCCACATATTTGGGTGCTGACACTTCTATGGGTTTCTTTATCTTCACTCCATCAGCCCATCTGTACTCAAACCTGTTGAAATTCATCCAGTTCCAGTTTTTTATTTTTTATTTTTAGAAATAAATATTCAGAATCAATAGCTATAAACAAATTGATTATTTCATTGAAAAAAGAAAGAATTTTTTGTATATATATAAAAAAAAAGTGCTTACTTTGGTCCTGCAGACATTGTTGGGCAGAAGGTAGGTGTGCAGAATTCCATGAGAGAGCCAAACAGAAGATTCACCTGATTGAAGAAGTCAACAGCTGCAGAGGAGAAAAATGTAAAAAAAAACATTTTTTGAGGGCTTTTGAGAGGATTTGATCGAAAATATGATTGTAGGAGAAGTACTGTTGACGGCAAGCCATTCATTAAGATCTTCTCCAGGGGGCAACTGAACAGCCTCTTTTAAGTTTCCACTACCCAAGGTTGCATCAATGTATTTCTTGAGCTGTGCACCCTAAATTATAAAAATTATAAAATTGATCAGAAAGTTTATTTATTTAGGTTTATGAAGGGGTAGAGTGTAAACCTTCCATGTGGAAATATCATATTTTATTGGCCCAATTTGAGGAGAAATATGTTATTTTTTTCTTGTGCATGACATCCAATAACTCTAGAAATTCTTATTCCTTAAACCAACATATAAAAAGACATCAGTGAATTAAATGCATGCCATGTTATAAGAGCATAGAAAGTATCTGATGTTTTCAATGTGAAGAAGAAAAATGATCTTTAAAATAGTGAAGTCAACACAATTTTAAATTGCAACCAACCAGCTAGTGCTATGGTTAGCTTCTCTCTCTCTCTCTCTCTCTCTCTCTCTCTCTCTCTCTCTATGATGCATCTTTATTAAATTTTTATCTTCTAGCAGGAATTTTGATGCATTTTTTGAGCAAAAAATGTTATGATTTAATTTAAAAATTATCCAGATCTCCAATTTAAACAACCCTATAGTCAAACTCACTATCTCAACATGACAAACCCAATGATACAAAAATTAGTCTAATCCGAGTTAAGTCTGAACCATGTTCGGAGGCTTTTGGTAGTTAATAAGAAGGTCAAATTAACACTAAATTTGGCATACCTATAGTCAAATCAAGTGTCTCGATGAGAAGAATCCAACAAACCCGAGATCACTCAATTTTGATGTCATGAAGATTTCAAATAATCAAAAACTCTTATGGTCAATGAGAATCAACGTTGACCATTAGTTATTCTCCAAATATCCAAAATGTTTTTCCCTTGGAGCCTATAAATAGACCTTCTCTCTTTACTTGAGGGGAGGAGGAGTTCAAATTTATTGTTGTTATGGACTAAAGACTCAACGATAACTTTAGGCTTCTAAAGTTACCGACCACCACCCGTCGTCGGCCAGTACTATCAACGCCCCCATGCCCAGCTCACCACTGTTGGCAAACTATGTTGTGTAATTATGATGTATCCTTGAACACTACGCAACAATATATCATAAATACAATATAACGAAATATTCCAAATATGGTGTAATAGACTCAAATATGGTTTATCATATAACGTCATATTACATATTTGAAGATAACTCCCAATAACAATTGCTTATGCTGTAGTATTCTAAATACAATGACTTTCTCTAGACTTTTTAAGTTTTCTATACGTCGTGCACTGATATTGTCTCAAACAAAAAAGTAATAAAACCCGAGAGAAGAGTTGTAGTCACCAACTAGTGTAGCACCAAATACGATCTATGCGGTCAACTGAAGCTCTTGCATTGATCTAGTATGACCTATGTATCCAATTATTATTATATCTTCCCATTACGACACACGTGATTGACTACTATCATTATAGTCTTCCACTCCAGCCTCTGTGCCAACTAGCACTCTTGAAGTGACTCACTACGGCCTATGTGGCCAATTACTATTGTAGCTTTCCAGTATGACCTAGTTGTCTAAATATTGTCATTAGAACCTTGCACTATAGTCTCTGTGGCTAACTGATGTTCTTGCAACGACCTAGCTCTACCTATGTGATTAGTAACTACTGTAACTTCCCACTACGGTCTACGAGGCAAACTACTATCATTACAGCCTTTCACTATTGCTTATGTGATCAACTAATCTTATTGCAACCTCCGACCTTGACTTTCATGGCTAACTGTTATTATTATAGCATTTCACTATGTATTATGTGATCAAATGCAATCATTACAATCTTTTATTATTGCTTATGTAATCAACTGTTGTTATTGCAACCTTTCACTACGACAACCTCTTTGGTCGCATGATGCAACTGTAACTACCAACTACGAACTATGTTCTATAAATTTGAACTAAGCCTCTACTATTAACTGAAAGTATTACAACCATCGAAAACGATCTTTATGACAAAATATTGTCTTTGTAGCAATCAACAATGTTCTTTGCGACTTATTGTTTCTATCATTGCCAAAACCTACATTTGTCATAGCCAAATTATGATTATTAAAGTTGGATGACTATTGCACTTTTCTGATTATCAATATTGGAATTTCATCTTTTTTAATTCAGGAGAAAAGTTGAGCTATATACTTACAACATTATAGTGGATTACTTTTATTGGGTTATGCCATGTTATTTTTTGTCTTTCCAGAGTTTTATCATATTAAAACTCCTTGTCTCTTCTAGCAACTTTTCAATCATCTGTGTGTGTGCTCTAAATGCTCCTAAAATGTTGAGATGTTACATTGTCATTTTAACACCGTTAATTTCCTGATATAATTTGTCTATTGCCTCCTGGTTTATCATTTTTTTTGGAATCATAATTACTTAACATCTACCAACCATGAACAAAAAATTTCTCCATCAACAAACCAACCTACAAATCTGAAAAAAAAAAAGACAAATAAATAAATACATGCATCAGTGAATACATTCCCAACCTTATCTCCAGCTGGAGCATTTTTCTTCGGCCGGAAGGTTTTCTGATTTCTGTCCACCGAATCCAAAACAAAACAAAAAAAAATAAATCTTCAGGGGAATTTCAAACAAATGAAAAATAAAAGAATCTCATAAAAATCCAATTTTTATTCGAAATTCTGACAAAAAATTGAAACTTTTAAAAAGGAAATCTCAAACGCAAATAAAAATCATCATAATCAGATAATTAGAATTAAATGGACCTGATTCCAAGGGCGAAGGGACTCATCTCTCTGCAACTAATGTTGAGCTGAAGAGATGAAGAAGAAGAAGAAAAAGGAGCAGAAATGTTTCCTTCGGTACTGTCCTTCTTCCTCTTCCTTCCGCCCGCTCGCCTTTCTCCTCCCCTCCTTGCGACAAGCATTGAAGATGCAGTACTCGTATTATTTTCAGAGGTAAATGAAGAAGAAGACAAGAGGCGGACGGTGGAGCAATAGAAAGAGAGAGGGCCAAGGCCAGACTGTCACACAGAGATAGATAGAGAGAGAGAGAGAGAGAGAGAGAGAGATCAGCGTTGGTATTTCATGTGCCAGCAGGCTAGCTTGATGTTAAGTTAACAGCTAATAACATACTAATAGCAGGGAGATTAGGAAAACAGACTAGATTAGGGATGTCAGCTCATTAATATATAAATAAGATATTTAAAAATAATTTATAAAGTTTTATAGGTGTGTTTGTTATAGATTTTCGGGCCGCTTTTAAATTAGTCCACAGATAACACTTTCAAAATTGCATTTTACTAATTTTCAAACTCTTGACAGCAGATTTTCTGCAATAGCTTTTGAACTGAGATTTCGTACAATTACAGTCGAAACAAACACACTCTTAATACATAACAACTTAATATATAAATGATAACAAGAATATAATTATTAATGTTAAATTATTTGAAATGAAATATCAAGTTATTGGATAAATAAATATAACAATTGATGTATTGAAGCTATAAATATTAAAAAAAAAGTAGTCTTGTTTATGTAAATTTCTACAAAAAGTAAATGCTTAAGAATAATAATATTTTGAAATAAGATGATATAAAAATAATTTATTTAAAATATTTATTCTCCAATGTTTATTTTTATATTTATTTTTTTGGAATGTTGCATACAAACCATAGAATTCATATGCATTTATATAAAATTTAACGCGAACATATTTTTTACGTCATATGATTTGTCTGCTTGCTATATATAAAAGAGCCGAACACGAATATTGATATTTTTTAACGAGCAGAACACGAGCCGCCGAACTTCGGCTCGCTCAAGCTCGACTTGTTTACATCCCTACTCAAAAGAAATAGTTACACAAAATATATTATGTATATCATATAATATTCTTCGAATATATGCCCATTTCTGTATAAATTAATAAAGTAATTAATTTTGGGCTTGCCATGGAAAGGTTCAGAGTCGATCCAAAATCGATTCGTTTCAAGCTGAATCACCTCAGTCTTAAATAATTTAAATTCCAAGCCAAGTCTAAGAGAATAGAATACAAATTAAAATTTGATTATAAATCTAAAACTTATTATATGATGATCATACAAACCATTTTTAAAATTATTAATGCTGATAAATGTATTAACTAATTAACAATATTGTTTAAAATCATGAAACCTTTTTTTTTAAAAAAATTGTATTGCATGTAAGCCTGATTCAATTTCGAGCTGAGTTAGCTCAAAATCAAGCATAACGAACTACAAGTTGATTTCGATCCAAACTCAATTCATTCAAGGGCTGGCTCGAAATCCGCTTGCTAACAACCCTAGTGAAACCTTCAGAGATTATCAATTACGTTTCATGTGCCATATATGCAACAATAATCATATTTGTGTAAGTGTTCATACATTGGTTTGTTACATGGTACTGCTGATAGGGAATAGCTGGCAGTTGTTGTCAATCTTGGTGGCTGGTGAAATCATTATTATGACTCATTGGTTTGATGTTGTTATCAACCCTCTTAAATTTGATGATCCATGTATGAAACGTCAATTTGTCTCTTTAGAAAATAAATTTCATATTTCGTATTGCTTTAATGAAGATGTTGTTATGTGATCATGAGTCATAGGCGTTGGTGGCCCATCATTTTTTCTTTGAGTTTTATGAAAACTCTGATAAAGTGGTAGTCGATATTCATATATTTGGTGTGAGTATGAAAGACTAGATTGTTGACAAAAATTAATGTTATCACAATGTAATGCAGTGAGAAAGAAGAGATGAATTTGAAATTTCTAGAGTAGACAACGACGTGATATAATGTTTATTATGACAATCAGTGTTGTTTTGCATATGTGGATGAGTGAGCTCGATGAATTGTTTCTTAAATCTGAAAGAGATAAGGGTGTTGCATGCCGACACAAATTTACTTAGTGGATTATAAGAATGAAATATAAAGTTCTATTGATGTTACTTAGGATAAGTTTAAACATTTGAAAGTGTTAATTGAAGGAGTTGATGCATATGTTGACATAATGTTTCTATACATAAGAGTGAATTAATCTAGTGATTGCAAAGTATTGGGAAGTTTGCACTAGATGGCAGTAGAAGGTTAATAATGGAAAAAATGACTAGAGGATCCTCAGTGGTAAGTGGCTTGGTAGAGAGGGGATTGCTAGTTGGCTTGAAATCACTCTTTCAAGAGCAAATGAGAATGCCTCATCATATGCAGTTTGATATTTGTGAAATCTAAGAGTGATTATTATGATATGAATGTCTAGGAAGTGGGTTTAAGGACCCAAATTTGCATTTTGAATTAAATTTTGAAGAGAGAAGATAATTGTAGTGTTATTAAAAGTTATTAGAATATTATAATCATAGAATAGGATGTAAATAATAGTCTTTTGTTGGTGATCAGATAGAAGGGAATGGTTGAATAATCTAAATTAAAATCTAAATTGTTGAAGGTAATTAGAATAGATGGCAAGCCATTGATGTCTAAAGTTGGTAGATGATTTTGTTGAGATGATAGACATGGTGTGGGCATTGAGTAACTTGGATGCCCTTGTGGTTATGACATGTTGAAAATTCAATGTGGATGCCATAAAGAAAAGTGTCAGAGACTTCAAGCTTAGTGATTATTCAATGTGGCATAGAGGTGCTAGTAAGAAAACTTAAATTGTTAACATTTTAGCTACTTGATTGTAGTGAAGTATATTTTATTCCCTTGATTGCAATCATATTGCTAGTAAAAAAACTTAAAGGTGTAGACTGCTAGTGGTTTTGATAATGTGGCAATGCTTTTAAAGAGATTTATTAATATGTTTCCCTCTACTATCATATTTGTAAGTAAGAAAAGATAAATTAAAATAACATCTTGTTTAAAATATGAGCAATTTTTTTGGTGATTTTAAATTTATGTAGCATAGGATATACCCAACACTTGTGATGGAAAGTATTTTAACTTCTAAAATTTTGCAAGGTTACAAGAAAAAAAAATATTTTGAGGAAGTACATATGATTGGGTTTCTTCTTGATATAGTGGATAAGCTTATGGAATGTGGATGTACAAGCTATCAATGCTATGATTGTAGTGGGCTTTGAAATTGTGGTTGTAGGAAAAGTATAAAGTGATTGATCATCAAATCCTTAATTTGGTAGCTGGTGGCATTGAAGGGAATGGAATAAGAGTTATCATGTATAAGTGTGTATATAAAAAGGCTAATTGTATATAATGTTTGGAATGTGCATAATTGGGCTAAGAGCAAGTTTACAATTTAGATTTAAGAGAACTTGTCCGATTGTTGTAATGAGAAATATTTTTTGTTGCCAATGCCTTAGTAGGCTTTTCATGCTACAGTTAGTTTTGATATGATTTTACGTGTATAGTTACTCATGAGTCAAGATACCAATCTATTGTCGAAGAGTAGAAACTTGTGAAAAGAGTTTGAGAGTCAGCATTGGTCTTTTAGAAGCTCAAATGAGTTTTGTACCATCACTTGCAATTCTTGGTTGAGTGTTTTTGGACACTAAGAGAAAAGGACTTGGGTTGTTAATATCTTTTGTAGTTGTCACAATTTCAACTATATATGGAGAAAAGAGTCACATGGAGATGGATTTAAGAAAGCCTATGATGGGAGCTCCAATGGTAAGCATCATTTTGAGCGAAAGTTCATTTGGAGAAGAGAAAATGACGATCGGAGTTTGTGTGAAAGAGGGAAAGATATTATAAAGGTCATTATCCCAGTAGATTTTGGAATTTTATGATTCTAACTAGTTTGAAATATATTAGAAATAAAACTAAGGATGAGAATCAAATTTCCTTGAAATAAAACTCTAGATTTAATTTTTAGAAATCCAAACTCTTGATTTTTAAAACTTCTACATTTGAAATTGTGATATACTCAAAACCACATCCAATAACTAACTTCTCTTTCTTGTTGCTTATGCACCTATGTGTGTATAATTTGTTTTTTTTGTTATTAAGTATTTACACACTTGATATTATGAATTTGTAATAAATTTTATAATTAACTATTGCAATAAAATATAAAATTAACGTATCTACTATTAGATCAATGAATAAAATAATGTCTTATAAATCTCAATGACAACTAAAATTAATTTAATGATTAATTTAAATATATTAAGAATTATTAGTGAGAGAGTTTATTTATGTGATCATTTTTAGTAACTCTTAGATGTACTAATTAAACTATTATAGATTATAAGATGTATTGAGCCCTTGTTTCAAAATTGATTTATCATATTATGTAATTCTTTAATAATGAAAATTAATTTTATTATCTACTTTGTATTGGCAATAAATCAAATTGATTAAAAAGTTTTAAGATTTATTAAGCACTTATTATCAAATCAATGAAGGGAATTATATCATTTACTTAATCAAAGTTTAACCATATCAATATATAAATACCTATTATATGTGGTTATCATATATAAAGTTAATATGTAATGATCTATAGTTTCAAATTCCAATACTCCAATACCATTTTCTTATAAATAGTTAACAAAATAAAAGAACTCATTAATAAAAATGCATGAAATATTTTTTTTTTCTATGAGAAAAAGTCTCTTGCTATCTTATTTTAAAGAAAGATTTAAGAACATATCACCAAAGTCTTATGTATTTATATATCTAATGTCAAAACTTTAATTTATACATACATGTCATCACGGCTATGGATACAGACGTATAATTCATTTGTAAAAGTTAAAATAGCGATATCTTGATATGATAAAAAAAATTTAGACTGTAAAAAGGTAAAATTTAGGCATTACTTATGTAAAATCACATTAAGTTAGATGATATTGATATATATATATATATATATGCAAAGTCCCATATTTTTAAATAGGGTGTTCTTATAAATCACACAATTTCTTGTGTTCCATCTCCTTTGTTTTCCTTATATAGTAATGTATTGAAAAAGGCAACAACTAGTTAGTGGAGGAGCAATCATTCTGTATTTGTTGGAAACCAAGCATGCCTAAAGTTCCCCCACTCCACC